GTGTAGTTGTCATCTAAACTAACTCAAACCCAACCCCATTATGGACTATAATTGTCCATAAGCTATTTCAAGTACAATGAAAGTGTGTAGACTAAGTCACACTGAAAGGAGCAAGTCACAATTGGGCTTTTGCAAGAATATGAGTGTTTAGCATTCATTTGCTTTGTCGACTGCACATCAATGCTGAGGCCTGGCTTCTTGATATAACTTTGTAATGTGTTTCACTTGCAGTCTTCACAAAGGGCACACGAGGCAGGGTGATAATGCGGGAGACATTTGTCACCTGATAATGGGAAGTGTTTGAACAAAGGACCTCCATGGCAGGATCATTATTCTCTTAATGAAAAGTGCACATATAAATAGATTTTAATCAACTTTTGAAATTACATTAACATGTTGAACTTATATGAAACATTAATGATTGGGTTTGAGTATACTTGAAAGTATTATAATTCTTCAGGCTTACCTGTTAAATATTTAATTTACACCTACGTTTGACTTAGTAGCCTGAGGATGAGAAAGGGTCAGTAGTGAGAGAACCCTGAGGTCTGACATTGGTTACCCTGTTAACTGCCTGAACTCATGCAGATAACAAATACCGCCTTTCAGGTCCCAAGTAACTAGAACTATGCCAAACATATACCAGCATTTTCACCTTTTTAGAGTTAAGTCTGCACATTTATGATAAGCTTGTTGATTTAGCTTTTTGACAGTAAAAGACAGCATAATGAGCAGAGTGATGGCTGAACCAATGGCAATGCTCCATTGTTTTCCAATCAGCAGGCTGTGGACCGGTCAACCACCAAACTATATTACTTAAAGTGCATTGGAGAAAAATGACCTGGCAATGCTATCTGGTATCTGGATGAAAAGACTGTCTGCACTGAATTGCTAATTCTAAGGCTGGCCATACAATATACCATTTTCTTGTACAATTTTCCTTTAGCTCTACCAAAATCATGAGGTTAAAGCTAAAAGCTTTCAATTTGTATGCAATCAGACAAACCCTTGTCTTACATAGTTGACAGTAAATCTAAAGGAAATTGAACAAGAAAACTGTATAATGTATGGCCAGCTTTAAGCAGGCCATAACTTTTCCACAAGAGTGCTTCAGCTGTGTATTTAGCTGCTTGCCTGAAGTTTATCTTAAGGGCTAGTTCACACCAGATGCAGTCCATTGCGGTTTCTTTCTGCATCAAAAATACATACACAGTGTTTTCCAAGTATTCCAATGGCCCTGTTTCACACCAGTGCAGTCAATTCCAGTAGTTTCCAGGGCAGGAAAAAAAAGTAGAAAATGCTGCATTATTTCTGCACAAAACTGTACTGGAACACAGTAACAAGCATCAAAAACACACAGGAATGCAGTGTGGTCGAACTGTAAACAAAAATGCATATGGAACACATCCAGGGTGCGTTTTTTCAGTGTGAACTGACCCTTAAAGTGATAGTAAACTCAGATTTTAAATTTTAAATAAAAATGTAAAATGTGTGCCTACGGGTCAGCTTATACGTAGTAAGTCTTTAGGTGCAGTGATTATCTCCTAAACTTGTGGCATTTAGGAGATATTCCCTACAGCTTTAACCAAATACGTATGTCTGCATTCATGGCACATTAAGTCTGCCTTGAATGCAAAACTCCATGTCATGATGATGACTTCCTTGCAAATGCGTGGGAGTGAAGTCATCCCGACTTGACCAATCAAATGACTGGAGAACGCAAACCCGGAAGCCAGGTGAAAATGGGAGTTCCGCAGCTGTGACAGTGTAGTGCTAGAGGGATCTATTTTAAAGATAAGTATGCCATAATGTCTTAGTATGCGATGCATGGTAGCACATTATGGCATAACACAGCAGGAGACTCATTTAAAGAAAAATGTGGTAGAGTTTACTACTGCTTTAAAGCCACATCCTGCAATTTATCATATATGAGTGTAGCACGGTGTGATCTTAAGCCAATGACTGCGTGTCCCTAAAATTAAAAAGATCCTCTTTAGTTTAGTCCGTAGTAGGGGTGATTGCATCAGATGAGTGTGGTTTTCTTTGTGCAGCAATGTGTTTAAAAAATGAGTCATGTAGCTTTGCCTTTTATGGTACACAAAAAAAACTGAATTTTAAAGCAGTTGTCTGATACATTATCGTGCTTTTGTTCAACAATCTTTTATCTTGAGTCAATCTAAAGTAAAATAAATTACCCTTCTGTAGTGGGTAACAAACACATTCTCTGTTAAAGCTAACAAAGAACTGATTCTGGAACAGTTCCTTGAAAACGATACTCTTATGTTTTGAGGGAGTTCAAATTTAGCTTTGCCTGTAACCTTTGTAGAGTCACTTTGGGTTTATTTGTCGATGTTTCACAGCTGCAAAAACCCAGTCAATTGAGCATGTACCTAGAATCAGATTTATGGTTCATTAAAACCACATTGACTTTAGCAGATATGTTGATGAAATCATTGCTGGGAATTGTAATCAACTTGTTATTCAGAAAAAATACATAAACATATGTAAATAAATAATGCATTTAGGGATTTGGTCACCCACTGCATGTTCAAAATTTCCAAAATCATTCTTGATTAATAACTGATGTCACCTGTATACAAGCTTTGCTTGCAAGTGATCGGCATATTAATAACTGTTTTATGTGGGCTTGTTAGGAGGATTCATTTTGTGGGGGTGCATGCACACAATGAGCCTAGGCAGACATGCTTTACAGCAGAACTACAGGCAAAAATGTCTTTACATGTCCTTGTTGCTGATTTCCTACCTTCACTGAATATGTCATCCATTTTCTGATTCATTCAGTAGTTTCTCTGAAATAGCCGATTAATTTTCAAACCAAACTGTTAATTCTCTTTGGTTTCCTGTTTGTAAGACCAGTGGCTGCTATGCCTCCTATTCCCCAAGCCATTGATCTTGGCACATCCCTTCTGTAGTTTTTCTCCAGGAAGCAGTGATGTAATTAAGCCCCACTTGCAGTGGTGGGTGGACCAAGACTCTCAGACACATTGAACATTCCTGTGGTTGATGGGAGCTGTAGTTTCCTTTTATTGCAGAGAGAGAGGAGAGGATATGATGTAATCCCTGCTGTTACACCTCTTTGGCAGAGAAGATGTCATTATATTTTGAATTACAGAGATAAGGTCATGAAAATTCAATTAAAAATTTATCCTAAATGGTAGGGATTTTCAAAAAATTATGAACTGTTTAGTGTTTTGTGTAGGGGAGTGTACTAATGGGTGATTTTTTTGCCTGTCTGGAGCTCTTCTTTAGGACTCTACACAGGTTAATATTTCCCTATATTGCACATTTACATCTTGCATTTTGGGCTATTTATACACCAAAAGCCTATTATCCTACAACAGTGAACACAGATGTAGCAGAGTGGAAGCGAGTTAATGATTTAACAGCTATAGAAAGCAATGTGTGTGTTCGAAAAAAATGTATGTACTAGCCATTTTCTGGAGAGCAGAGTTTTCCGACTCGAAGTGTGAAGAATGTGGGCCTCTTGCAAACACATAATTAATGAGCATCATTGTGTGTCTGTATCAGAATGTTTGTGTTATCGGTTTGTTGGCCTGTATGCTGGTAAATTTTGCAAAAATGTAAACTTTTTCTTCAATGCCCCAATCTGAGACAGTAACTGAATCCAAAATTAAAGCACTGAAAGTCAAGAATAATACCTAGTTAGAAATCACTTGGTTCTATGTGGCTCTGCACTAATTATATCTCATGCTGTGTCTTTACAATATATTTTACCTTTTTAGTATACTTACACTTGCATTGTTACAAACAATATTATAATTATTATTGTGTGTATTACAACCAATCATATAGTATTTATTGATTTTTAGCCATAGTTAAGGGGTTGACTTTAATTTACTAAGCTGGTCTTAAACCATGAAACCTGTTTTTGGTTGCTTTTGGCAACACAGACATTTTACTTTCCACCATATAAAACAGTCCTACTGACAGGAAGGAGAATTTTAGCTGTTAATACATTTCCCTTTCATGAAATCATCTTTATATAAAATATGCAGAAATTTTGCCACCTAAATCTCTTTAGAACATGACAGGAATTGTAATAACTGTAGATTTTAATTGGTTAAAGTACCTTTCTTATTAATTTACAGGAGGTACAATATTTGGCCTTCTTTAATCTTTTGTATCTGTCTTGTTCAAGAGATTTCTTCTTTATTGGTTTAGAAATGAATTCAGTCAATTACTTTAATGCTCTCTGGGGAGTTATATACAGCTGAAATAATTTGAACACATCTATCTTTATTAAGCATTCAATAATGTGCTCCTTTTATATCCTAATAGTATTTTGTCTCCCTTTGCAGTGTAATGATTTTTGTGTTAGGTGAACATTCTGCTTCGACCTTCCCATTCACTCTCCATGTTTTGCTGTTGATAATTTCACTAATGTCACTGATGAGCAGCCACATGTCATTCCATCCTTTCGCCATATGGAACATGCTTAAAGTGTAACTTGAAATGTAATATATTTAATGCTGTAGGCATGAGACTAAAACCATTATCTTTATATCTTTGTTTATTACATATCATATTGTGTTATTTCTGTATGAGCTTTTATGTGTCCATTGTAAACATAGGGAAATGAAAGGAAAAGCAATGGCAGTGCACAAACTCAAATATTTAAAGCAGAGCTCCAGGAAATAGCTATGAAAAGGACAGCAGGAGGTAAGTATAATGTGTTCATATGCTACAATTACATCCAAGCTATCCTTTCCAAAGTAATAAAATAAGGGTATAGAAGTCTATTCGTAGGATGCCTCTTATTAAGAGTTTAAAGCAACTTTGGAGTGGTTCTAAAGGCTAGACATTTATTAATGCATTAAGGTAAAAAATGTCCCAGTAACAATAATGCCCCCCTCCTTAAAACTTTCTCACTCCACAGGACAGAGAGTCAACAACAGGAGCCATTGGCTGCTCTCGCTTTCAATCAAATCCTATGAGCAGAGAGTGGGGGCTGAGCCACACCAGGGGCGGACTGACCATTTGGAAACTCGGGCACTGCCCGAGGGCCCAGAGTCAGTAGGGGGCCCCATGTGATGCCCCTGGTACTTTTTTCATAGGCTTTTTGAGTTTGGGCAAGGACACAGGGGCCCCATGATCCCCTATTGCCCGGGGGCCCCATGAGTTGTCAGTTCGCCCCTGAGCCACACTGTGCGTTTTTACACAGCCATGCTGCTCGGGAGCGAGTCTGCACATCTGCCCCCATAGCAACAGGCTTGTTGGTGGCAGACACAGAAGAGGAGGAGCCCAGAGCACTAGCGGGGGACTCCAGAAGAGGAGGTTTGGGGGGTAAATATAACATGTTGATTATTTTAGAAAAAAAAAAATTCAACCCTTACAACTTTAAGCACTACACAATATCGGCAATACAATGCCTGATGCAAGAGACCATGTGCTCAGGATATACTATGTAAAATAAAGGGACTTAGCTTCAAAAGTATTTTGACACAAAAAAATGGCAATGGCACAGATGGGTGGACATTGAAATAAATATTTTTTGAACATGCACAGTTCAGCTTTAACTGCTTGCCGCCTGCCCACAGTATATTTACTGTGGACGGGCGGCACAGCACATGTACGTCATCCATCTTCTTACGGGTTTGTGGCGTACACATATGCCCCCCCCCCGCTGACCTGCACTGTCACTGGTTACAGCGCAAATTTTCTCAGTAGGTGCTGGCCAATGATTTATGGCTGAGACCTGCTGATTGGCTATAGCCAATCACAGCACAAACTCCTGTTTTTACAAACACACAGGGCTCTGTTCACAGATCAGTGATCTGGCTGTTTCTTCTCCCAGCAAATCAAGGAGAAAAACCAGGATATCGTCGTAAAAGCAGCACAAAGTACACACATTAAACTTGTTAGGCACACAGTTAACCCCTTTATTGCCCCTCGATGTTAACCCCTTCCCAGCCAGTGTCATTAGTACTGTGACAGTGTAAAGTATTATATCTGATCACTGTATTAGTGTTATTATTGATGTCCATATCAGTTAATCAGTTAATGTACCTCCCAGCGAAGGTCTGCTAGCGCCAGATTGTCCACCACACTATCACAGTCCCACTTTAAGTCACTGATCACAGCCATTGCCAGTATAGAGTCATAGCTACATAAATTGCAGTATATACTGTATACCATACTTTGTAGAAACTATAATTTTAACACAAACCAATTCATATACAATTATTGGGATTTTTAAAAAAAAAATTTCCAAAGACATGTAGCACATTTTTCTTGATGGTGACAACAATGGATCATACCTACCTAATTTGTGTTGGTTTTTCCACTTGTAGTCTCCATCAGAAGCTTGTGTAACAGGGTGAAAGTGCAAAAGTACACTTGGGAGACAAGGACAGAATGTTGTCAGGAAGAACCCACACTTAGATCTTCATAGCAGGATTACCAGATATGTTGTAATATTTTAATGAAAGCTGCAGAATAAAACAGACTAACATTAACACATTACAATTTAAAATAGATTTTATTGATTGGGTATAGGTGACTTCATAATAATTACTAATTTGCCCTACATACACTCCATATGAAAGTGCATATGTTAAGCTTGACTTTTTTTTTTTTTTCACAATTGTAGATTGAGGTTTGTTCCCGAAAGCAATTTTTTTTTTTTTAAACAGAATTCTCTCTTTAAAATAAGCTACACTACAATGTGCTATGAGTCGCTATACCGATAATTACTATGCTGGGTTTATTATGTGTGTCATACCGGCAAATGAACATTGTTACCTGTGACTGGATTCTATTTGTAAACATGGCAACAATTCTGCCGGCCTGTAGTTGGCTGCTAGCACTTTATTACCTTGGCTTGCTGCTTTGGAAACATTTAGGCAAGCTGTGAAATGCATTGGGCACCTCTCCACTTAGAAAAGAGGATTTATTGATGTTCTGCTTCAGTGAGGAAAAAATACACTCTAGCTGCATGCTGGGATTTTACACTGAAAATAATCTGATTATTTCATTTACAAACTCTGGACTACTATAAAAATAGATTAAAATCTTGATGGCAATGGGAATACTATATTGGAAATCAGATGGCTAAACTGCAATTAAAATGGTTTAAAACACCTAATCTAATGTACCAAAAAAAGACTACACCGTGTTATAACTGGAATATGTCAATTTGTTCTTTGAATAAAAAAATAGAAAATATTCCCATGAAAGCAATTTAGTGTGAGTCAGATAAAAATTGAGAAGGATGAAAACTGTGTTTCCCATACAATTCAAGCATTATCCATTGGTCAACATTGCAGTAGGGATTAGAAAATGGAGGCTTAAAAAGTAACTCAGTCCCCGTCTGAGTGAATAATGTACATGCAAGAAATTGAACAAACTTTGTTGCAGATTAAAACCTGTTTCTGCTCTGAAGAAAAACTTGGTTATATTAGTGTCCAAAGTGAATCTGAATGGAATTACTTTTTCATTATTAATCAGCTGATGCCATGCAGTGTTCTAATTAGGAAATTTATAGGATCTGCATTCTTTAAGGCCCAGTTCACACTATTGCAGGCCATGTTGTTTGCATTTTCTCTGGCACAGAAGCCCATTCAAAAAAGGTGCATGGACCTTTTCAAAAACGCATCCGCAGGGAAACCTCATGGTCTTTTTGACCATGAGGTTTCCCTTCGGTTCCTGCACATACGTATGCTCTGCAGGCTGAGATGCGTGGGGGTGCCATTCAGAATGAATGGCAGCCCTACACATCTTACAAGAGCAGCACAAAGGAACAAGTGTGATTCCTGCACCTGCAACCAGCCCACAGCTTGGGGGCTTGTGTGAACCCAGGGTTAGCATTGATTAACCCTTTGGGAGTATCTTACCAACAATGAAATTTTTGTTGCGGAGGATGTCTAAAATCGGACTTGTATCGTAGTGCAGATTTCTGGGAAAATCAATGAGCTAACACAAACAGAAAACTACATTTCCGGGGGTTGTTCCGTACACCAGCTGTATACAGAAGGCCTCCAGATTACAGATTGCATTTATTTTACAGAAAATTACAAAGCTGCAGATTGAAAAGGGAAAGGCATTTTTAATAACATTCAATTACCATTTAAACCCTTTTCTGGGCTATCCATAAACTAATATATATATATATATATATATATATATATATATATATATATATATACACACACACTCTTTAATTGCTGTGATCAGTAAAATTGTATTTTCATTTTATTCCGTTCTTTCACATAAAGCCGAGATAAGCTTTACAGTGATGTTCAGCTGATATGCAGTTTTCTATGAGAATAAACATGTTTTAGCTCTCAGCACTGTTTATGGTCAGTCAGTGCAGAACTGATATATTTTTGCTACAATTTGAAAAGTATACGTTTCTAGGAATTTAGTGGTGAGATTTCCACTTGAGACATTGTTTGCCTGTACACATTTAAAAAAATCAATCACAAACTAAGTTATATTTTTGTCATCCTGTCTACAGTGATCTACAGTTTTTATACAATTTTGCCATAGACCTGGCAGTTCTTAGAAGTAAAGTGCTATACTGTGTTAAAATACGGCTTCCCTTCAGGCATGCCTGAAGAAGGAAGCTACTGTTTCCGCAAGCTTCCAATTCCAATCTGCCAGTCTAGTCAACCAAGCACCTTTACCAGTTTATATGGATGACCTAATTTTTCTGCACTGCATTTAATCAGTACTGTTTGGCTAGGTACTCTTCCCTCCTTTCCTGCATACTTGTTGATTGGACAATGAGGGAGCATTATTATAGCGATGAGCTAGGACATCCCTCTATTGTCTTCTGTCAGCAAGTTCCCAGTGCTGGAGTAATAGATCTGCATAATGCAGTTAAGCTTGATTGGCTTAAACTGTTGGCCCTCCACAGTGAGTTCTTCTGTCTAGAGCACATGTGTCAAGCACAAGGCCCGCATGCCGAATCCGGCCCACCAGGGCATATCATGTTGCCCTCGCACCTCTATTGCAGCTGTGGCACCCCCCTCATCTTCACCCACACCTTGTCTCAGCAGTCAGCAGCAGAAAGGAGGACAGAACTCCTCCGCCTCCCCTACAGATCCTGCGCATCTTTGTGCAGCTACAGCATCTACTCACCCCTCTGCCTCCCCTAGTCTCAGCATTCAGATATTGTCAGACTCTGGCAGCTAGCTTGAGCCCTAAGTTATTACTAAAACCGGTAATAATCAAATGCAGAGGCAATTATTTATTTTCATGATCAATAGTAGATACACTGATATAGTCTTACTGATACAACCAGCCCTTTGAGGGCAACCATACTGCTGATGTGTCGCGTGATGAAATTGAGTTTGGGGGACTGGCCTCGCTCACTGGTCTAGAGCATCACAGGAAGGTAATATAATAAAAGATATTGGTACTTATGTTAATTATTTTTAAAATAAATTTGACCTGGCCTAAAACTTATAAAAAATGTGTATTTCATTGACCACAATGCCATTCAAATAATAGGTGCTTAAAAAACAAAAGGTGGTGGCCTAAAAAGTGTGCTGGTTGAAAAACCGTTAGTAACAGATAAACATGTGACCACTTTCAGGTGCTTAAAAAACCAGATGACACCATAAACATGGACCACTTTGCACTCACCACAATGGATGGACCTTCTATTACTAGATAGGTCTCACTGCTCTTTTTTGGTTGGACACACTGTGTATCTTGTCACCAACTTGACCATTTACATGTGACAGAATGAGTAACAAACCTTTTCCCTGATACTGTTTTTGTGGTTGTGTGTATTGCATTGGAAGGGATCGCATACTGTACACATGTGAATGGTCAAGTTGGTGACAAGATACACAGTGGGTCCAACCAAAAAAGTGCAATGAGACCTACTGTATCTATTAATAAAAGGTCCATCCATTGTAGTGAGTATAAATCCATGTGGGGTCACCTGGAGCACCTGGAAGTGACCACGTGTGTATCTGTTACTTATGGCACCAACAACTGTTCGTGTACTTTTTGTTTTTCTAGGCAACTATTATTTGAATGGGACTTATTGATACATTGGACATTAGTTGTATTTCCTGGTGTTGCAAATTTATTTATTACACTTTTACATGTGGCAAATTGTTTAGTAATCTTGATTCACATTTTTGGCAGCGTGGTCTATATACACATTTATAGGGTGCACGAATGCTGGTCTAAAACTTGGCTAAGGAAATGCTAAAATGCAGACACCTTGTGCCTGAAAGTACCTTTTTATCTTCAAAATGATTCCTATGGGGCTTCTTGGATCCTAGACACAGACTGTACACAGGATTGTCAGTTTCTTCAACCCAACCCTGCCACCTTCTAGTGCTAATCCCCACCCCATCTGTCAGCTATTATAGAAGTCAAGACCCTGTATACAACTGTGCCAAGGATCCAAGGAAACACTCAGATATTGGTTTGAAGACTAAATTTGGCAATATACTTGGTTTGATATAAATTTATTATTTTAAGAACATTCATTAGATTTTCTAATCATTAGTAGAGTCAAATTAACGTTCGTTTTCAACCACAGTGATGAGAAGATTTGAAGGTAACAGTATGGAAGATTTTTCTTGAATGAACACATTTTGTGTAAGGGTTCATTCAGATGGGTGATTAGGCCCACCTTCCAAGCAGAGCTGCTAGCAGAGGTGTATGTATCCGCCTTGGAGCTGTGTGCAGGCAGGCCATAGAAGAGGATACACATACAGCACCAGTACGGACACAATCATGTCAAAGTTTAACAAGTGGGTAGGAGCTAGGGTTGCCACCTCATCCCTTTAAAACCGAACACATATCAATTATACAGAGTCCGAGGCTAATTTAATGAAGATAAAGCAAATAAGTGAGTTTAATTACCACCTTAATCAGCCACAGAACCTGTGTAAATAGCATGTGTTCTATTTTAAAGGGATGAGGTGGCAACCCTAGTAGAAGGCTCTGTGTTCAGATCCATACACCCACTCCTGCCTGCATGTCAAACTTTGACATACAATTGTGTCCTTGCCGGTACTGCATGCGCATCCACTTCTATGGGCTGCCTGTACAAAGCTCTCAAGTGGATACACGCACATCTCCCCATGGCTCTGCAAAGAGGATGGACTTAATCACCTGTCTGAATGAGCCCTAACAGTGCATGTGGTTTTCCTTTAGGGAATTACATGAATTCCAAAATTGAATGTTAAATGCAAACATTTTTAAAAGTGATGTTTTAGGACATTTTTCTAGTCATTGAATGTATACTGTAAATAATTTTTGTATGAATCTTCATATGACAAAATTCTACTAGTGTATAGTGAGCTTAACAAGGTGCTTGTGTCTGTACTTTACCACTATTGACAGCTAACAGCAAAATGTTTTTATTTTAAAGAAGTTAGTTCTGAAAAGACTGAAGATGGGATTTTACACCAGTATTAAACCCAAAATCAAAAATCATATATATTACAAATAACAATCATTAGATGTTGTGGCTGCATTAGTTTTCTTTTTTTTTTAGGCTTTTCCCCTTGTTTTCGTCCGCTGATCTGGCCAGTATCACACCTCCTGTATTAGAGTACCCACGCTCAGGATGAAGTTGCAGAGGGGCAACTTTGGATAGCATTGTTAGTCTGGGGGAAGGTAGTATTAGATGTACTAGCAGATTTAAATACACTAACAAATTGCAGACATCAAATTTAAGAATTGGTAAGCTGATAATAAATTAATATAATATATAATAATAATAATATTATAATATTATATATATAACAGTAATATGGGTTGAGTGCACAACGATGATCAATCACAGTACATAGCAATCAGGCCCTCCCATATATAGAAAAAAGAAAATTGGATTGCTGCACATAAACTTTTATTGTTGAAAAATCACCATACAAAAGGGTGATCCAAAAAAAATGGACAAAGCCATACATCATAGTGTTCAATTGTTGAACACTGTGATGTATGGCTTTGTCCATTTTTTTGGATCACCCTTTTGTATGGTGATTTTTCAACAATAAACGTTTATGTGCAGCAATCCAATTTTCATATATATATATTTATTTATATATTTATCAATAGCACTATAATAAATGTCTGCTTTTGGGTTTACTACAACTTTAAATTATTTAATCTTGTATGATACCTTAACCTGTTCTGTACCTGTTGTTTATACTTGAATTATATCTATTCAAGTAATTCAAAAGAAAAACAAGTTTTAAAAAATATACGTAGGATGTTATTGTTGGGTTTTTTTTTGTTCTGTTTTTTTTTTTTTTTTCCGAACAACAGCCATCAGATCAGCTTCACTTTATAAATATTGAAGTTTTATTTTTTTGTTCTAATAAACATAACAGGACTTTTTAAGTAATATATAAATTGTGCAACGAACAGCTGTGAATGGTGAGGTCTGTAGCTTTGAGCTTTTTTCAGCACATTGAAGGTTATCAATGATCAAGTGTTGAGCTGACTCTTATCTCTGAGCATTTGTTTAAAAAGAGTTCAATCCAGGATTTAAAGTGCAGCCTGTATGATGGTTGTAAGGAATGTGCGGGTCTGATATTTTTTCTAAAAGTTGATGGAAGATCTGTCTTTCAGTGACTAGCTTTATATTATCCACAGTCACTGGAGAAGGTCTACTTTTAGTGCAGCATCAAGAGCTGAATAGTGTCTGCTGATAACTGTGAGCTGTATTAGTCTACACATCAGGGGAGCTATTCTGTTCTCTCTTTCTCTTCAGAGGCC